AAAAAAAAAAAAAAAAAAAAAAAAAAAAAAAGGAAAAGAAAAGTATTGCAGGAGTATCATTTTTCCGTGCCTGTGGAAGGTCTGTGGGATGGACTGAGGGAAGAAGGGAGAAAGTTGTCCCGTTCACTGCTGCAGGACTTCACTATTTGGGGTTTATGCCTGCACACACGGAGAAGGCAGCACGTGCATATATGTTGGCGAGTGTGCTGGCGAGAGGGATTTTAAACAGCCATTTTATCCTATTTACCAGCTCCCGTTCAGCTGGCAGCTCCCACCTACGGCACATCACCTGTTCATGGCATGTACTGCCTGCCGTGGCGGTACCTCCATTGCCTCTTCTCCCCTCCCTGCCCACCCCACCCCACGCTTTCTTCACGCACAAATCCCGYTCCTGTCCATGTTCGGGGGGTTTCGGCTGCTCCGGTGGGAGCAGGGCTGGGGGTCCCCAGCCACCCCATCCCCTCCTCGCCCGGTGCCTCCCAGACACACCCCAGCCCACCCCAGCCCTCCGCAGCCCGCAGTGTCCCCTCTCCCCTGTCGCCTCTGTACAGTGGGAAAGTCGTTGGGTAATTGGGTCCAGATTGAAGATTTTAATTATTCATGAGGCTGGCGAGGGACTTGGGGGGTGGGGGTGGCTGCGGGGTGGGGGTGGGGTGGGGAGGTGACGAGTCAGGGAGAGCTGGTGAACAATTCTGGGAAGGGTAGGGAGGGAGGCAGGGAGAGGCAGCGTGTGCATGTGTGATGAGCAATAGCTGTGGACCTTCCAGTTGCTGCTAACTGCCCTGGTGTGTGTGTGTGTGTGCGTGTGCTCGCGTGTGGATGTGTGTGTGAGCGAGAGAGAGAGGGAGAGAGAGAGGGAGGGAGGGAGGGAGTGGAGAGGGTGGGGGGGAGAGATAAGAGAGAGAAGAGGAAAAGGAGAGAGGAGAAGGAAGGAAGAAGAAGGAAGGAAGGGGACAATACGATCATGCTGTGCTGTATGAGAAGAACAAAACAGGTAGAGCTTAAGATTTTTATATTTCTTTCTGTCAGCAAATCTCCCAGGCTGCTGGGTGTCCGTGGGGTGCATGTCTGCCTGAGAGTGTGAGGGGCTGGGGTAGGGGCTGGGGTAAGGGGGGAGGAAATTTCAGCTGCTTTCAGCAGACGTCTCTTTTGCAATTCTTTAGCATCTTGCGACTGAAGGTTCTTTTCACACCCTGCAACGTGACTGTTTTGCCTTTCCGGGGCTGGTGATGTGGGGAAGGGGGGTGGCCTACATCCACATTTGGGGAGCTACCAGAATCCCCCCTCTATTCTTCTTATTATTTTTTTTAATAGGGGCAGTTATATTGCCTAGGATTTTCTGTCTGTGGTTCTGAGGGTGTGGATGGGGCGGGGGGGAGGTGGAGGGGGGTGTTGCGGCTGGCAGGAAATGTGATGAGATCTGGCTCTACCTTGGACATAAAGGAAGCAATTCTTCATCTTATGCCAAAAAAGAACGGATGCCCAGTGAGCCTTGATCTTTGGTCAGAATGCTCTCAATTGCTCCCGTTTCTGATGAATGGGAGATGCTTTATGTGCCTGTGCTGTGAGGTAGCTCGGAGGACAGGTGTATTCATTTTTTTGTGTTACAACAATCTGAGCAAGAATTAACCTGAAGGAATCTTTTTAAAACCTATGCTATAGTGAAAAATCCAATTAATTAATAACAAAAGCATTAGCCTAAGGAGGGGGAGAGTCACCCTTTTTGCAATACCCTTCATAGTACAACCAGTTAGACAACTGTGCACCAGCTGGTAAAGAGACAGAGGACCACGCCTCTGTTAGCTCCGAACTCGAGTGGGATAAGAGAGGCTCGCGGTGTGAACCTGTTGGAAACCTGTTCATTTTCTTTTCTGGTCCCGCCTGGCTTTTGCTATAAGGGAATTGGGATGATGAGAAGGTTTGGGTGGAGATTAGTTTTCAGTGTCAAAATTTTTATGTCCAAAATGATAATGAAATTAGGAAAAAAACCCAAAAAACTACTTAGATCATTTCCCCCTCACCCTTCCCCCTTTTATTTTGTGTGAAAGYCCAAACCTATTCCTGATTAAGAGAGCCTATTTTGTTTGAACTTCTTGGACTTCCTCGGGAGGATGCTGGATTTATGCAGTTGGAACTTTGAGGCAGGAACTGACCCCAGATATCTATATAAGGCATTTTGGAAACTTCCAAGAATTATGGATTTGTARGGAGCGACAAGGAGCTTTGGTCCTTGTTCTGAGCACAAAACTCAACTCAGTCTTAGGCACAGCACCATACTGGTTACTTTCTTTATATATGCGTGCATTTCTGTGTCTTTTACAACGTGGCACTGCAGTATTCTGTTCACACGCTGGTGTGAGTAACTACAGCTCCTGTGGAACAGCACAGCGTTGAAAGAAAATTCAGGTTAAAGTGTGTTTCTGAATGGAGATGCGTGTGTTAGCAAACGAAGGAGAAATTTGTAGAATAAYGGGGAGGGGCAAGTGATCGGGATAGAAAGAGACCCTGCGTCATCCTATGTTTCTCCTCATGCAGGTTTTTCAAATGCTTTGCAATTAATGATACGCTCACTAAAATCTGGAAGGAGGGGGTGAGGGCTGGGGAGGGGGGAACACGTTGCAGTCAGCCAGCAGAGCACATTCTGATGGCAAATACGGGATGRAAAGAGCAGAGGAGGAGAAGGAAGGCAGACAGGGAGGCAAAGTGRCAGAGCGGTGGGCGGAGGTGCACAGCGAATGTTAAAATAAAGTTGGAGCTCTGTGGTTCTTTGGAGTCAGAAGCGAGCTGCTGGGGAATAGGGATCATTCTGCGATATCCCGGTGTATCTGCTCTTTACATCTCTCGGGTTTTTTTTTTTTTTTTTATGCTCCGCGGCGTTTCGCCACGCACGGCATGCAGGTGCCTCGCTCGCACCCAGCCCCGCGTCCCCGCTCCGTGCGCGCACCCCGGCACGGCACACACCCCTGTGCGCGTTCACGAGCGGAGCGCGGCCCCGCTACTACAGCGATACGCGCCCCGAGCGCTCCCTGCGCACGCTGCCCCGATTGTGCCGTGGCTATCGCTGGGCTCGGAGCTGAATACACACATCGCTGCTCCCCTACCTGAAYACACACCGCGATCGCCAAATTGGCAACACAGCAGCGCGCTCGGGAAAGCTGATGATAACGCCAGGGAAAGATTTGATWGGGAGAAGAAAAAGACCTCGGTTTTCAGCTTGTGCTGTTGCTCTGTCCCCACCCAGACCTTTCACACAGAGGGAAAAAGGTGGAATGGGTTCTTCAGCGCTGGCAGGAATTTCTTTCCCAAAATAAAGACAGCTCTCCTCAAATTATTTTTCAGGGGAAGTCCCTGGTGTCCCGCCCTTCTGGCAGCTAAAGAGCAAAATGTTGAAATTACAGGCTTGGGCGTGGAAGAAATCTCTTCACATTTGTGTCTAGGTGTGCCTGTGTGTGTCTGTCCTCCCACCCCTCAGAGACAAGTATATTCACACACTCATACCTTGCAGACTATTCCTTCTTGTGGGTGTGATGCCAGTGTGAAGAGTGAAGTATTTGACTGACTGACTGACTGTGCCCGCCCATGAGAGATGTAGAATAGCAAAGTGTTGTCATTTCTGCCTACAGCTGACTGCAGCTCTGAATCTGARCCCACCAAATATTCAGCTGAAAGGTAGCATAACTAAAAGGCTGGGTCAAGCTGCACCTGAAAAACTGAACTSAACCTTTGCTGCCAGCGAGAGATGCAGTCAGTAACATGCAGGGCTGGGCAGGGAGACGGGGGGCTAGAAATGCAAGTGTTGCAGGCACTGCATGCTACAACAGATGGACGTTCGGGGGGTATGTGCTCAGTATTGGATTGCATGAGTGATTAAACAATAACCCGCAAGCAGGTTTCCCACTTGTGGGTGAGATGAGTCTCATTCATCAGCAGCCATAGAAGACGGCTTCCCTCCCATTCGGTCCTCTCCTGTTCAGCCCAGCGCCGGAGAGCCAGCGGCTGCAAAGGTTTAAACCTGCCACACCCACCGAATCAAAGGAGGGAGAGAGAAGAGGCAGTCTGCGTTTCTTTCCCCTTCCACACGRGCAGCATGAATAAACAGGGCTGTACCTCTAAAATGCAGTTTAATTGGAGAAGGCAAACACATTGTGGAACAGTTCTAGCAATTACAGGCAGCCGGTGAGGTGGCTTGTCATTCCAGGAGCTGCAGAGGTGTACAAGAAGGAGGAAATGGAGAAAAAGAGAGAGAGGAAGATGCATGCAGGGTTAAGGTTTCCTTGCCTCAGGATATTAAAATATCTCAGGTTTCATTTAGGATAACAATTACACTGCACAGTCCAGACACTTCAAAATGCAAGGCGTGGTCTTACCTTTAAACGCCACRGTGGACAGAGGAAAAAGGGTATTTTAAAGGAAAGGTGTCTATCCATGCCCCTCCTCCCATCACTTGGCAGCATGGTGTAAATCACAGACTACTGACTTGAGCACAGAGGCACTTCATCTGCACCTAGGGAGAGTGTAGCCACTCCATCTGCCTTTTGGAGAGACACTGAGCAGCTTCTTCCAGTAAACAACTGCTCCATGGAAGTTTAATTACTCCAGGTCCTTACTATTTCTCTTCCTGTGGCAATACCCCTGGGATTTCTACCCAGAAGGATGTCTCCAGAGAAACACCCCTCCCATCACCCTGTCCTCCACTGCCTTCGCAGACTATTAGAGACATTGATTTCTCCTAGATCATGTAATGTAACTGTTCTTAATGGCACAGACAAGCTCCTTCCTAGGGAACTAATTGCAGGCAGAGATTCCAGTGGGAGAAGGACAGCTGTAGTGCTTAGTGGGAAAGAAACCAGTCTGTGAATCCAAATTGTCTGTTGACTCTTGCTCTTGAATCAAAGTCCCAGCAAAAACCAGTCAGGCATTCCAGTACCTGCTGGAATGCAGAGGCATCCCTGCCCAGAGGGCTGTACTGACTSTTCTGTGTGACCATGCCAGGCTGGGGACACTTGTGCAGCCCAAGGAACCAACAGGTATCACCTGAGGACTTGTCCTGGCTCAATGCTGAGGCTTCCTGGAGGATCTCAGAGCTGCTCCAGCCTCGGGATAAGGARATGAGCTGTAGCTCCAGACTCTGCCCATGCCATGCTGAGAGGGTGGGCATCACTTGGGGAGGAGGGTGAGAGGGACACCTCCTTCAGTCATGTGGCTTTGATTGACTGGAAGGAGAGAGTGCAAAGAGTTTTCACCTCAAGGCCRCTCTCATTTCAGGCCAGCTGTCCTGGAGTCTGAGATGAGCTCAGCTGGTTAGAGCATGGTGCTGTCACCYCAAGCTTGTGAGTTCAATCCCTRGATGGGCCATTYACTTAAGWGCTGGACTTGATGATTGCTGTGGATCCCTTTCAATTTAGAATATTATYTGATTTGGATTCTGTGATATCAAGCCAGGATCTAGTAGTCATCCTGCATACACATTATATTTTCCTCTCCCATTTCCTAGAGAGTAGGAATTTCTCACTGCTGGCAGCTGCCAAGTTGCAATGCCTTCTTGTGCTAGTGGGAAGGTGAATGGGGCCTGTTGCCCCTTGCAAGATGAAGGCAGGCTGATAGACTTGCATGTTGTGTACTCCTGCTTGGATTTGCTGTGCTTGTGCTGTGAGGCATGTKCTCCTCATGGTGACTCCTGTGCTCCATGTGCTGTTCCTGGCAGAGGACATGGGCCAAAAGTGGAGCTCTGYCTGATTGCTGCCAAGCTGGCACATATCTGCTGAGGGGTTGGTATTAGCAGGTAAAACAGCAACTATAGCCTGATGGTTGCCTCTGCTTTTGGCTGAGATAATTCAAAGCAAAAGCACCAGAATCGCAGAATATTCTGGGTTAAAAGGGWCCCACAAAGATCATYAARYCCAGCTTTTAAGYGAATGGYCCATAGGAGGCTGAACCCTCAACCTTGGTKTTATYAGCACCATGTTCTGTAAAGCTGAGGCCTCTGCATGGCTG